TCAGGAAAAGTGCTACATAATCATAAAGAAAGACTCAGACGGGTCAGTTTTTAATGCACTGGCTACCCCTTGTCGTCCCTTAGGTTTGGCATAAAATAACTACGTGTTTGTTATATCATTTCAGGTACGGTGGTGTAAATTAAGTACTTTAAGTGAATTCAAATAAGTTAACAGTGACTTTTAGTTTCACACGAAACTCTTACAGTGGTCTCCTGGGGGAAAGTCATGGGTGTGTTTGACCCATTCGTCCAGTCAATCCTTCTCCCTGCATGGTCTTTCTCGCTCTTTATACTACATCACCTGACTTCCAAAGCAGTAGCTTTGAGCCTTTAATATTCCTGCAAAAGGGTTTACATGGGAGTCTCATACAGATGCCAAAGGATGCCTTGTGCTTCAGTATTAGATGCCAAAGGCCGCAACAAAACAATGGTCCTTGACAACTTGGGAATGAGACCGGACTGTCACACTTGATACCTTAATTAAAGGGCCCTACAAATAGCAAGGATCTTTGATGTCCACTCATCTGTACCACGTTTAGGACAAGAGCAAGTTAACTCTGACTGGTGTGATTTCTACTGGTGTAGATATTAATGGTCCCCAGAAGATCATTTTGGTTGTCATGCCATGACCTTTCATTCAGCGTCACAATCAGTATCTATACCAAAGTTAAGGGTTGATTATCCATGAATTCCCATTAGTTCAGGCAGAGCACTGAAGTCATGCTGGCATTAGTTGTTCATTCATGCTTCACAATCACCAGCTCCTTCATCGCCACCAGCTGACTAATGACCAATGTTCGTGTAGGTGTACAATGTGACTGTTTCTACCTGACACATACTCTGCTGATACCTTCACATGATCATGTATGTGTTAGGTGAGGATTAGATCTCCCAGCAATCACCCTCGCTCCTTGTCCGACCTAATAAGGACTTTCTGTGGCCAAATGAATGACTGTTGTCAAAGGTGAATGTACAGATAGGTTAAGTCTGGGTGGATGGATGGGTGAACAAAGTGTATGACTTTGACACAAGAGGACCCTGTTTGCATCCTGTTTTCAACCAGCGCTGAACCATGAGCATGATCATTCCCTAACGAAAACCTTGACAATGTGCTTGATTTGAAAATGGTGGTATGAATAATGTTTGCAATAGTTTTGGAGTGCACTGAAAAGCTATCTTCAAATCAGAACATTTTTGTATGGCTTAAGCTTGAATGTTTTTTTTTGATAACCATCTCCATAGTAATCGAGCAAATCCATCCACTGAGGAAGGACATGAAATGTACTTGAATGCTTTGGAAACAACACTTTTTTCAGGATTTTCTTTTTTTTTTGTCAAAATTGTTGTATGTCTTATTTGGAAGGCAATGTTTGTCCTTGAGGCTGGAAGATTTTAGTATCCAATAGTCCCTGGACCAAATAACCACTTGCAATGAAGACATTATACATTGTAGTCGACTGACTGCCTTGTCATTTGGTGATCACAAATAAAAATAACCCGTATGAATTTAGGAATTCCATTACCTGTTATATAGTGCCTTTTTGAACTCAAAATGTACATTTTAACAAACTTGAGAGTGCTTGTTAGCAAGTCCAAATGGCACAATAAACCCTTAAAGTGGCTACTTGTGAGGCTTCAGACTTTCAGGCAGATTTCTTATTTTTCTTGCCAAGTTACTTCAAGTCAAATCCCGACTGTGTCGTTATGGTGAGATCTTCCCTGCTTTTAACTGATGTACGATGTCATCCTCGAGGTGTGGGGAAGCAGTTGAGAACACATTGCCTTCAGCATGAGCTGCTACCAGTGGGGTGCTTTACATTAAGGCTGGAATCACAGCGTGTCTCTTGCTCAGCATGGATTCCATCTCTGCAATGTATGCATGTATATTTCATGATATTTCATTTCATCTGAAAATGTAAACTTCACTTGTCTCACTGTGTTATTTTAATCCGTGACGGAAGCATACCGAAAGACGAACGACGATCTTTCCCATCTGTGATCCTTCAACATTGCCATGACACATTTGAATATGCAAAATTTAGACACACTAAGTCATTCAGTAATCTCCACCTTTCCTCTTGTTTTGTTCTGCAATAGGACCAGTGGCCTGATTAGAGAGCCAGAGGCAGCCAGTGGTGTGCCCTCTCTTTGCCTCCACATGGATAATTGTGTCACCGCTTGCTGAATTTACAAACACAGGCAGAGGTTTAATTTAGCATTGTTTCTCTTCTATCTCTCTTGCCTTTGCTCTCTCCTGCTTCTGTGCCTGCTTTGCCTCCTGAATTCACTGATAAGTAAACCTGATTAGCTGAGCCGCTGCTGCCAAATTCACTCCTCAATTCCAAAGAGGATATTTTTTCCCCCTCTCTTCATTTCCATTCCTCTATCTTGTCTTTCAAACAGATGAATGGGTGATGAGATTTGACAGACCCATTTTTACCAACAGAGAGGTAGTTTCCTGTTTCCGAGGTTTTCACTGATGAAGGCTGACTTACAACACCAAGAGACCTGCAATAAGACCAATCTGCAATATCACCTGCAACATGCTTCTCTTTCCCCCCCTAAACATCACAGGAAGGGTCTGGATTGGTTTGTGTTTTGGACATTATTTTGTCCTGTGTAATTCTGTAACAGTCTTTATACATTTCAGTATTTTTGATCACATGTAGCTCAAAAAAAGCTTATTCTACATAGATTGTTCATTGATCAATACATGTTAAATAGTAACACAGTGTCATTAAAGTTGAAAATCAAGCTTAAATGGAGTTCCAAAGTGAGTCGGGCAGACTGCTGTTGAGAAGTGTAAAACTATTTTTGGTCCATTATGAAATGATTGGGAAAACAGCCTCAGTGGGATGAAATGCCTTCGTCACTGCTTACCTTCAGCTCTGTGTCGTAGCACTTCATTCAAAGAAGGAGATATGTGGTTTTTAGGATCTGACGGAGTTACGCGATTCTGTCACAAGCTCTTTTGGGTTAAATATTTGTAAAACTCATAGACAGTAAAGGGTAAAAGCGCTCCTAGCGATGGATATTATGTGTTACAATATATTTACTTGTAGAAGGTTTAAACTAAAGGGAGAGTTACTGAATTTGTTGTGCACTGTGCGAGAAACCAGAGAATTTATGACACCGCCATACAGTCAGAGAGAGGGGAATGTTGCTGAAGACTTTCTGAGCACAGCCTTCAAGAAGGGGGGAGGAATGTGTCAAGGAAGTGACCGACTGAAGTCCAAGGGTTCAGCCAATCACTGAGCTGATCGATGGGCTAAGGAATGTGTAATATGAGACATTTCAGAGACAAAGAAACTGTGAATCCCCGGAGATAATCGAACCTCCTCTGGACCACCATGAGGCAGACACACCAGTCTGTCGTGTAGTGCGGATTGGGCCTCTATTTCATGAAATATTACTATTGATAGTGTAATTCAGTTTGTAACTGCATTTGCTTTTGTTAGTATATTAAATTCCTTTTCATTTAAACTTCAACCAGCTGATTTGGCCCTGCTTGCTGAAAGAGAGCGGGGGGGGGGGGGGGGGGG